GTCATAGTGTGGGCGTGGCATCAGGTAATAGAGATGTGATGGTACGGGCGAGGCATTAGGTAATAGAGATGTCATAGTGTGGGCGTGGCATCAGGTAATAGAGATGTGATGGTGTGGGCGTGGCATCAGGTTATAGAGATGTGATGGTGCGGGCGTGGCATCAGGTAATAGAGATGTGATGGTACGGGCGAGGCATTAGGTAATAAAGATGCTATTGTGGGCGTGGCATCAGTAATAGTGATTTCATAGTGCGGGCGTGGCATCAGGTAATAGAGATGTGATGGTGCGGGCGTGGCATCATGTAATATAGATGTGATGGTGTGGGTCAGGTAATAGAGATGCAATGTTATGGGCATGGCATCGGGTAATAGAGATACCCTATTGTGGGCGTGGCATCAGGTAATAGAGATATGATGGTGTGGGCGTGGGATCAGTAATAGTGATGTCATATTGTGGGCGTGGCATCAGGTCATAGAGATGTGGTGGTGTGGGCGTGGCATCAGGTAATAGATATGCCATGTTATGGGCGTGGCATCAGGTAATAGAGATTCCATGTTATGGGTATGGCATCGGTAATAGTGATGTCATAGTGTGGGCGTGGCATCATGTAATAGAGATGTGATGGTGTGGCGTCAGTAATAGTGATGTTATTGTGTGGGCGTGGCTTCATGTAATAAAGATGTGATGGTACGGGCGTAGCATCAGGTAATAGAAATGCCCTATTATGGGCGTGGCATCAGTATTAGTGATGTCATATTGTGGGCGTGGCATCAGTTAGACTGATGTCATAGTGTGGGCGTGGCATCAGGTAATAGAGATGTAATGGTGTGGCGTCAGTAATAGTGATGTCATAGTGTGGGCGTGGCATCTTGTAATAGAGATGTGATGGTACGGGCGTGGCATCAGGTAATAGAAATGCCCTATTGTGGGCGTGGCATCATGTAATAGAGATGTGATGGTGTTGGCATGGCATAAGGTAATAGAGATGCCATGTTACGGGCGTGGCATCAGTATTAGTGATGTCATATTGTGGGCGTGGCGTCAGGTAATAGAGATGTCATGTTACGGGCGTGTCATTAGTAATAGAGATGCCATGTTATGGGCGTGGCATCGGGTAATAGAGATTCCATGTTATGGGTATGACATCAGTAATAGTGATGTCTGGTTGTGGGCGTGGCATCAAGTCATAGAGATGCCATGTTATGAGCGTGGCTTCAGGTAATAGAGATGTCATGTTATTGGCGTGGCATCAGGTAATAGAGATGGTGATGGTGTGGGTGTTATTATATGCTTATAAAAAAATACGTGGCTCTGTCACAAGCCCGTCATTCAATGAGAAAAACACTGATACTAAACCTATTGAACTATCTACTGGCTACCTTACCGTTCTGTTATTTTCTTTTACATTGCTTCGAAATGACAATGGGGAGCTGTTATCCCTGCCATTATTAATAATGCAAGGTCGGGTGTTCTATGCCACCGCACTCCCTAATAATTAATTCAGGACAGCCCTCGTGTATCTCCTGGATATCTGTTTCATGCAGTTTCAAATTACGCCCCCACTTTGTTGAATTATTCATTAATGGAACTATTCCCCATCAATCTGTCATCTTTGGTAAACCATCTCTTTAGTTTTGATAACACGTGTCACAGACATCAGACACAAGACGTCTCGGAGTCAGTAGGCGCATGCTTCGTGTGTCGCATCTTACAGCATCCGGACATGAACGCCAATTCAATTTTGTGTACTTTTTTTTACCCGGGAGCTTGGATGAAATATGGCATACTGCAGCGTGAACAAACAAAGAATAGTCAATGACAAGTTCCGACTGATGAACAGCTGATACGCAATGAACTGTATCGGGTGACGCCTGACTGAAAATTTAATACTATATATCCGTTTATCTTTACCCGGTTTAATATCCTAGGTACACCCTGGGCCTGAAATACTCCAAGTCACTCTCAACACTATTCGGTCAAATACCCTTTTCTGAAGATTAAGTTTACTCTTACATTTCCTAGGCGGTTGGGGGGACGTCTAAGGCGCCGTTATTCGCTGTGCAGAGTTGCGTCTCTTTCTCACTCACATCATGTACAAAATAAACAAGCAAATACACTGGTTTTTATCTCCCGTATATGCAGAGGCCATATAGGAAGGGAGTGGGCCTCTTGTCGACCAATCAACCAATTTATGTCTTGTTCACTTGTTGTACCGTCATAGCATATGTAACCTATATCGATCACTCCGACTTTCTTTGGTACATTCCTTTTGTACTTCGCCCACTGACGCCCCTTTCAACCTCCCTCCCCCATCACTCGTGTAGTTCCCAGGTTGCGTCCCCGACCCCCTCTCTGAGTGTTTTCACCCCGTTTTGGGCCCGCCTTGACCACGGCGAGACGCTCCCTGCCCCAGTCACCATAACTTACGTCGACCACTACCCTGCATGTAGTGATGACGACAGTGACTAATGGGTCTACGAGGACGAGAACGACTACAGGACCGCGAAATTCATCCTCTGTGGAAGGCGCTGAAGAGAGTGGCTGCCTTCTGGAGGAGAATCTTCGAGAGAGAGAGAGAGAGAGAGAGAGAGAGAGCGAGAGAGAGAGAGAGAGAGAGATATGCATCTTTGAATGAGTGTAAGCGTGTAAAAGTGAATGAGTGCGTTTTGCATGCATGTTTGGTGAGTGTAATTAAGTGTGCATGTGTGAGAGTGTGTATTTCGCATAAGTGGCGATATTCTTTTCATGTGCGTTTGGTATTAAGTTCATATTTCCCCGAAGATGTGTTTTACATGTGTGTTTTGGTAGGAGGTGAGTGTGCATGTGTGAGAGGATGTGTTTTGAAAGTGTGTTTGTGTGAGAGGATGTGGTTAGGTGCCGGCGTGATAAAGCATTTCTCCCTTTTGGACTGTTTTGGCTACACCATTTTTTAGTTTTGTTTTTGGACACACCCTTTCGATATTTGTTATTTGTTTTGGCTCACCTATTGGCTGATATTTCTAAGTTTATTCAGTTCTCTTGATATCAGAGGACAGTTTTTGTGTTCATGCTTGGCCCTGATTTCGACACTTTCTTTTGGTATTCTATTTCTTGATCATATCTAAATACATATGGATTAATGGTATACACGAGTCTGTTTTCCTTCCTTCCTTGGATCTAGTAACGACTAGGTGAGAGCAACACAGCAGTAAAGGCAGCTGACCAGGTCTGGTGTTGAGATAACTTTCAGATGTAATATAGAGAAAAATAAATTATCAAATGAAGATATCCAGGGGACATTTGTCCTGACCCGTTGTGTCTGCGCAATGTGTTGGAAGACTGGATATTTTACGAACACTTCACTTACTGTTATTTCCATGCACATATGAAAGATCGAGAGTGATCTCCCTTCGCCTTTACAACTGTTTCTCTGATAATATCGATTCTTTACATATCAAAATTTTCGCAAGTTTGGGGTAGCTGGTTTGATAGAATACTTAGCAGTTTAGATATGCATGATCCCGATAGAAATAATCATGCTTTTAGAATGACGATAAAATGATAAACGTAAGTTTCTTAGCAAACTAACACTAAAGGGCGAGCAGGTTATCAAGTACATTATTTTCTCATTAAACGACCCCGGGTCCTGCCTTGAAACGTGGATGATCAGGGATATAGCTGGCGCCTTTGTGGGGCCGGCGTTAATTTCTCACTCACACCATATACAAAATAAACAAGCAAACGCACTGATTCAACAAGTAACTTAGTGAGCTTTCATCTCCCGTACGTGTGAGGGGAGTGAGCTTCTTGTCGACCAATCAGCTAAGGGAGACCACTCATGTCAGACTATTTCTCCCCGTGTATCAGTGGAGATGCTAGTTGTGGACCGACCATTTGATATTCGTATAAATTGTCCCCGAAAATTCTGGGAAAAAATAATTTTGTTTACTGTTGAAAAAGAAAAGAAATTACCTGACACAAATATTACATTTCTTGCAAAGTGTTTTTCTTTACACAGCATTCAGGCTCATAGTTTTAAAATTTTAAAAAATATGGTTTTGTAGCTGTAGCTAAACAACCATATACCGTATTTCCTCTATGAGACGCCGGGCCTCTAATAGACGCCGGGTCAATTGTTCAGTGCAAAAAATAGAAGCCGGGCCTCTAATAGACGCCGGGTCGATCAATTGATACAATTAATTATCCCTTTTTGGGACCTAAATTCGTGGTCATAGTGAAATGGGGGGGGGGGGGGGGGGGGGGGTATTAATAGAAGCCGGGCATCCAATAGACGCCGGGCCTCTAATTGACGCCGGGTCAAAGGCTTGTCCGAAATAAATAAGCCCGGGCGTCTAATAGAGGAAATACGGTAGATCTATTCTCGATACAAACATATGAACTAGCCAAAACGCCACACTCAGCAATAGTCCAGCTTTTTGACGGCGGTCCGGCTGTAAATGATAGTCTGGACCAAAACAATCCAGTGATTTGACATCATGATAATCGATCTACCCAATTGGGATACGATGACATACATCAACCAAGTCAGCGAGCCGGACCACCTGATCCTGTTAGTTGCCTTTTACAAACCAGCGTGGGTTGCTGAAGATCAATGCTAACCTTTATCTTTTCAATAAACAATTGGCAAACATTTAGCTCATTCTGTTGAGGAAGTACAATGATTGATTAAAAGTAGCGAATGGAGTTCTAAAACATTTAAAATCATGCGCATAAGCAGTGTCACACTTGCAATATAATGAACATAATAGTCGTCACATCGCACAAAGGAACCGAACATGCGAGATCCAACCTGTCCCAAAACTATAACCTCATGGGCGTTATGCAACAACATTTAGAGTTATGTCCCTTTACCACTAGGTGGCTCGTACACACATGGTAATGTTGACAAAGTATCAACAAAAAATATCAGGAGTATTTCTTCATCGACAACAAAGCATTTTATGAATGAAGTGGTGATAGTGGAAAACATACATCGAAAGGTATAATGATAATGGCTTCAGGAAGCAATAATATGCCGAGTGCATCATTTGATATAGCGTTGATTGTAAGCCTCCGGACTGACACCCTGATTTGTCAGAGGTTTGGCCAAGTCTTTGGACTTAGGCCTGTGCAATTCCTCTTCCTTCTTTGAAGATTCAGTGGACCAGGCAGATTGTTCGAATTTGTGATAAAACTGATAGTTAGTGAGTAACCTAAAACTGATGTAGTGTGCTCATGGTAGGTATGGCTGTCACTAAGATATTATGTGTGAGAGTTTTGTGAGACTGTCATTTGTTAAACAGTTAGCCTGGTGTTTCCTATTCTATTGTTTGTTGTGATATACGTCAATGACAGTAAATACAGGAAATTTTCCCATCAACACTATTATTGTTTTCGCATATTCAATTATAAGATTTAATAGACTATATCATCATGTATATGTTAGTCTATAATCAGCTTTATCATGAAAGAATCTATTACACAATACATATCTCTCCTCTAAAATTAAAGCAGTTATTATGCCTGATGCTGATTTCCTGGAACTGAGCTGGCTAGACTTACTTTTGTATAAAACTAGATTGGTTTGTATCCATAAAGTACATATATTCAGCAGTCATGGTTATAAGCTGATTATAGAATGTGTCAACATGTCAGTGCATGCATGGCCATGGGTGATTTGTGATCATGTAACTCCAGGCACTGGCGTGCACAAACATAATGACATAAGTTTTATCAGCTTGTTACTTAGCAGATTTTGACAACTCATTGTACATATTCAGAGCTCCAGGTAACTTTTTGAGCAGTTGAGTTTTTACTCTAGGGTTTCGATTTTAATGGGTTATGACATTTTTTATTGGGTAACCAACATTTTTTCACTCATCTATTCATCTTTTGTGTTTTTCCTAAAATAAGTGAACATTTTAGGATTTAAAAAAATAAATGAAATTATGTTTTAGATGTATATAACTGTTCTAAATATATAGGCTTGACTCGGAAAGTAAATTAGCTCGTAATTGTGTTTCGGAAATTAGCTCCTTTGTACACACGCTGAAGAAAACTTCATTAGGTATTTATGCATGCTGTTTTGATACATTTGATTTTTTTATTTAATGCATGCGTTTCTGTATGCCAGTTATTTGAAAGTAATTGTGTTTTAAATATTTTAGGGGGTATTTTACGCAGAATTGCTGCTTAGCTGTAGCTCTGCATATTGATTTGGTTTGTTGTTTAACGCCGCACTCAGCAATATTCCAGCTATATGATGGCAGTCTGTAAATAATCGAGTCTGGACCAGACAATGCAGTGATTGACAACACGAGCATCGATCCACGCAATTGGGACCGATGACATGCATCAACCAAGTCATAGAGCCTGACCACCCGATCCCATTAGTCGCCTTTTATGACAAGCATAGTCACCTTTTACGGCAAGCATGGGTTGATGAAGACCTATTCTACCCCGGGTCTTCAAAGGCCCTCCCTGCATATTGAAAAAGGGTAGATGAATCTGTCATACATATAGTTGTTTCCCATTTCTTGCGTTATTCCAAGTATGGTACACATGCATTATACCGGACACCATGTTTGTTTAATGCCACTAATAATGTAATGTATTGTGTATCTACTATGGTAATTAAAGATTTCACAAAAGCATTTAATTCAAGCTTGAGTGGGGGGCAAGCCCCCCAAACCCCCTGTTGTTTTAGCGAGGCGACAGAAATGGTGCCTGAAAAACATAGAAACAGTTACTAAGGAATGAGCTCATGCACATCCTAACCAAAATGGCGTCCGGTATACTGCATTCTTACCCCAAGTATAAACACAGTGAAAGTGACATGGTTAGACACATTTTGTTATTCGTACTATCGTAACAATCTTTCTTCATGTCCTGTGTAGGATGAGGATAGTGAGAATGTGATCTGCTGCAAGAGTATGGAATCACAGACTGACTATGCTAAATTTTGTGCTGAAATATGGCAGAACTACTACTAGTAACTACTGTGTTTTGTTATACTGTTACATATACATACTTTTGTTTTGAGGCATTTTTTCCTTGTCTCATAAATGTTATGGAGAAAGAATTATGATTTAGTTTGATTTTTTTTTCCAGAAAAAATGGAAAGCAAAGTGCCAGAGACCAGTATACCCCTATCATCACTAGGTAGATTTTATATTTACGCCATCCATGGCTATGCAATAGAGGTCATGTTCACAGCAGTGTGGGAGTTTGTTGTCAACTTTAACTGGAAGTTTCCGGGCAACACCAGTGTCTGGTCCTTTCCTATCTACGGCTTGTCTACGATGATGATAGAGTATCTGTATCTTCGCTTAAAGGACAGAGTACCCCTGGTTGGGAGAGCACTCATTTATACAGTATGGACGTACATTTGGGAGTTCAGCACTGGATATATACTGAAAAAGTTTGATGCCTGCCCTTGGGATTACACACCGTTTGAAGGAGATTTTATGGGACTGATTACACTGGAATATGCCCCCTTGTGGTTCATAGGGTGCATGATCTCGGAGCAGTTCGTCATCAAATATACACGGCAGATACACTGGGGGCCTCGCTTCCCCAGTAACTCCAAACCCACTTCATCCAATGGAGATGTCAAGAAATCAGACTGAGGACTGCTTAGTTCACACAAGCTATTACCATGATTATGATTCATAAAAAAATATTTTTGTAATAATAATCATATGTCTCCCTTTAGTTCTGATAATATGTAGAAAGTTGAGGTGGACAGAAAATAGTCATCTATTCAGCTAATTCAGCTTGAATGGATCTAGTAAAATTGAATAGAATATGTATAATAAGATGTCCATCGGACAAGGATAGCTTTCTTGCATCTTATCAGCATTTCCATATACTGGGTAGAAATACTTTCTAAATTAGTTCAGTGTGTACAGAGTGTGACAGCAATGCTTAGTGTCCCCTGCTGTGATATGGCTGGAGGGTTTCTGAAGGCACAAAGGCGTTTTATAAAAAACAAATTAGCAGCTACAAGCTATTAACACAGACTTTTCTAGAACACTATGACACTGATAATGACCATATATCTTCTAGCTCCTAACTTTAGTGTCACAACCCCCTGTGTCCAAAGGGGGGAATAACCATGACAACCATCATAAACGCCATACTCATATTCCAAATATATCTCTATCCAAGGATGAGTCTTATGTGATACGCTAACAGCAGGAATCTGGGTTATTCCAAATGTAATTCTATCCCAGAATGTCCTATGTGATATGCTGGCAGCAGGAATTTGGGTTATTCCACCGGTGTCACTATCTGTAATAGACCATGATAGATGCTGATGATGCATATTATGACATAATAACCTCCATCGTTACCTGAGTATTAAACATCAACAGGTAGATCAACGCTTCTACATCTGTGGGATGGTATTTAGTCCAAGCACTGGAAATGGATGGATAATTGGCGGTTAATTTGTTTTGTTTGGGTAAATTGAATTATGCACTTCACAGTCTATTTTATGTATTTCCTGCGTGTATTTTTAAAATTATTAAGACTTAAACACTAATTCATTTAGTCATGTTTATTTTTGTGGAATGGAAGATGCATGTTCTTTTGTTTTTGTTTATCACAAATGACATGATTTTAATGAATGTACTGATGCATTAGCTTCCCTGACAGCTGATTCCACTATTAGATTATTGTTTACTTTGTTGTATGGCTGAAAAAGATGTGTTTTTGGTAACCATGGCAACAGGCCCATGACAAAGGTAACCTTTCAATTTCAGGGAACAGCATGTACTGATTGGGTTCAAAATATATTCTAAATTGATAGCTTTATCAAATTGCTGACAATACTACATGTTTCTTTGCCTTGTACAAACTGTTAATTTGTATGTGACATATCGCACAAACTCTTTGTTGACTACACTTTGTAATGTGTAATACTCACAAACCAGTTTTAGAAAATCTGCACCTTATGCTACTGTGATAGGAAGAAACTAACCAAACTGATAAAATGATGTGTTGAAGTGACCGGATTCAGCTTCTACATGTAATAGTGCTGATTGGCTCCGGGTTTAGGCTGTGACTCTAGTTTCACTGATCTTGTGTGCCCCTTTGATCCTGAGGGTTAGTTGTGCTCAGGTAGGTTTACCCCTGTCTCTATCCTCAGCCCTTGGATGCCCATTATGATTAAGAAACCCTTTACGATCATAAGGGTTAGATAGATACCCCTTTCCGAACAAACACCCCTTTACAATCCTTAAGTTTGAGCACCCCTTTCCAATAAAACACCCTTTACAATCCTTATGGTTAGGAACCCCTTGACAACCCATAGGGAGGGGGCACAGGTGGCCCAGTCGTCTAAGGCGCCGCGATTCGCTGTGCAGAGTTGCGTCCCTTGAACACGCCAGAAACCTATGATTGTGGGTTCGAATCCCGGTTCGCCCTGATTATGTTTCTAGGTTTGTCAGCACCATACTCGTGCTCGTGGGTTTCACCGAAGTGGTAAACGTCTGAGACCTGCATCACTTCGGGCTTTCCTTCCACATTAAGCTGACACGCCGTGATATAACTGGAATACAGTTAAAAGCGGAATAAAACCCAACACACTCACTCACTCATTCAACCCATAGGGTTAGGAACCCCTTTACAATCCTTATGGTTAGGGGACCTCTTTACAATCCTTGGGGTTAGGAACCTCTTTCTGCTCAAGGTTAAACCTGTCTCACTCACTCAAACACTCTGGATTTGTGCACTCTTAGTAGGACACCATGACATTGAAATCTCATTATGATCAAATGTGAGTTCTCGCTACCGCTTAACAAAGATCTGAGGACATCCCATAAAGGGTCACGTCAGGACAAACTGTAACCGAGCAATGAAATAACTAACAGCCTCACAACCTCACACCCGACTAAACAGAGCATGGCTTTGTTCGACAGATTCTGTAAAAATCTCTAGTTTCAATGGGATAAATGAAACGGAAGAGACTTTCCATAGGCCGTGGGAAGTACTGCCATACAATCTTGGCTACTTAATGTACAGTCCAGAATATTCCTTTGTTCAGTTTTTATATTTTTAGTGTAGTCTCGCATTGAGCAACCAGTTTGAAACTTGTGCCGTGAAGCTTGGGAAAGCTGCTTACTGATTGGTCATTGACGACTTCTTGTAAGTCGTTTCAATGGTTGGTAAAAGTTCACGAAAGGTTGCTCTGACGTGACCCGTAATGGGATGTCCTCAGATCTTTGTTTAGCGGTAGCGAGAACTAAGATCTGAGTTTAATGATTTTGCATGACATTGTCGATGTTATGTTCAAACCCCACTCACTCACTTATAACTGTCCGACACAGTCACCATGACACTTCTTCCCCCAAACACCCCCACCCATGTTTTATCATAGCTGACTCAAATGGGACATATTGTACAAGGGCAGGATTGACTAGGACTGGTTTTCAGCATACTTCTAATACAGGCAGTTAGTTCTGTATATCAGCTCAATTTTCAGCATTTTCATACAGAAATAATTCCTCTTATTTTCTCTTTTTATATTGGGACTTTTTTGGGGGGGTATTTTATGTACTAGGAACCAAGTGTGTTGTTTATTTATCATGTTAAAAGTTTTACCTTTATGAGTGTATTTGTGTACATTTGTGTTTCACACTGGTATGTGGTTTTGCACTGTATATTTATAAAGGTGTGTTATCTGCAATGTGTGTTCATAAAAGTCTTGAAACAAGGGTGTATATGTTCTCTAATGGTGTCAAGTGTGGTTTACTGGCACAGGTAGGGTTGGCTTTTGTGCATAATGGTACCAGGTGTGTGGTTTACCTGCACAGGTAGGGTTGGCTGATGTGCATAAAGGTACCAGGTGTGTGGTTTACCTGAACAGGTGAGGTTAGCTTTTGTGCATAATGGTACCAGGTGTGTGGTTTACCTGCACAGGTGAGGTTGGCTTTTGTGCATAAAGGTACTAGGTGTGTGGTTTACCTGCACAGGTAGGGTTGACTGCACAGGTAGGGTTGGCTTTTGTGCATAATGGTACCAGGTGTGTGGTTTTCCTGCACAGGTAGGGTTGGCTTTTGTGCATAATGGTACCAGGTGTGTGGCTTACCTGCACAGGTAGGGTAGGCTTTTGTGCATAATGGTACCAGGTGTGTGGTTTTCCTGCACAGGTAGGGTTGACTGATGTGCATAATGGTACCAGGTGTGTGGTTTATCTGCACAGGTAGGGTTGACTGATGTGCATAAAGGTACCAGGTGTGTGGCTTACCTACACAGGTAGGGTTGACTGATGTGCATAAAGGTACCAGGTGTGTGGCTTACCTACACAGGTAGGGTTGACTGATGTGCATAATGGTACCAGGTGTGTGGTTTACCTGCACAGGTAGGGTTGACTGATGTGCATAAAGGTACCAGGTGTGTGGTTTACCTGCACAGGTAGGGTAGACTGATGTGCATAATGGTACCAGGTGTGTGGTTTACCTGCACAGGTAGGGTAGACTGATGTGCATAATGGTACCAGGTGTGTGGTTTACTGGCACAGGTAGGGTTGTCTTTTGTGCATAAAGGTACCAGGTGTGTGGTTTACTGGCAAAGGGAGGGTTGACTGATGTGCATAAAGGTACCAGGTGTGTCGTTTACCTGCACAGGTAGGGTTGGCTTTTGTGCATAAAGGTACCAGGTGTGTGGTTTACCTGCACAGGTAGGGTTGACTGATGTGCATAAAGGTACCAGGTGTGTGGTTTACCTGCACAGGTAGGGTTGGCTTTTGTGCATAAAGGTACCAGGTGTGTGGTTTACCTGCACAGGTAGGGTTGACTGATGTGCATAAAGGTACCAGGTGTGTGGTTTACCTGCACAGGTAGGGTTGGCTTTTGTGCATAAAGGTACCAGGTGTGTGGTTTACCTGCACAGGTAGGGTTGGCTTTTGTGCATAAAGGTACCAGGTGTGTGGTGTACCTTCACAGGTAGGGTTGGTTGATGTGCATAAAGGTTCCAGGTGTGTGTTTTACCTGCACAGGGAGGGTTGGCTGATGTGCATAATGGTACCAGGTGTGTGGTTTACCTGCACAGGTAGTGTTGGCTGATGTGCATAAAGGTACCAGGTGTGTGGTTTACCTGCACAAGTGAGGTTAGCTTTTGTGCATAATGGTACCAGGTGTGTGGTTTACCTGCACAGGTAGGGTTGACTGATGTGCATAAAGGTACCAGGTGTGTGGTTTACCTGCACAGGTAGGGTTGGCTTTTGTGCATAAAGGTACCAGGTGTGTGGTTTACCTGCACAGGTAGGGTTGACTGATGTGCATAAAGGTACCAGGTGTGTGGTTTACCTGCACAGGTAGGGTTGGCTTTTGTGCATAAAGGTACCAGGTGTGTGGTGTACCTTCACAGGTAGGGTTGGTTGATGTGCATAAAGGTTCCAGGTGTGTGTTTTACCTGCACAGGTAGGGTTGGCTGATGTGCATAATGGTACCAGGTGTGTGGTTTACCTGCACAGGTAGTGTTGGCTGATGTGCATAAAGGTACCAGGTGTGTGGTTTACCTGCACAGGTAGTGTTGGCTGATGTGCATAAAGGTACCAGGTGTGTGGTTTACCTGCACAGGTAGGGTTGGCTGATGTGCATAATGGTACCAGGTGTGTGGTTTACCTGCAGCATTAAACAACAAACAACAATACAACAAATTAGGAGTAATAATTATCTGTCTGGTTCCGAACAGGTCTCAAGTATCTCAATCTTGTCGTAGGAGATAAGATAAGGTGGTCAGGCTGTGTGACGTGGCTGTTTGTGAGTCAGCACACCGATAAGATTGTACATTGATCATACTCTCAGCCAGTCTGGCCTAGACTTGATTATTTACTTGTCATTGGGATATTGCTGGAATATTGCCGACTCACTGCTGTGTAAAACATCAAACAAACAAATATTAATTAATTAAATACTAATTAAGTCATAGTGTCTCTGGCAAATGCAAACATCTGATGAAGAGAAGAAACTAAACACTGCAAAAATTTAAACATTACTGTAGAGATCAATATCAGAAAACATTAATCAGATGAAGACAGATTGTCATATATTCTTTCAATGTGATGTTTTAGTACAGGGGTGAGTACTCTATCAGGCAAATCATACTTTATTTTCACTTAAATGTAACGATTTAATTTATCAACATTTCAACCATACACTGCCAATCTGTCAGTATATAAAAAAGCAAAGAAATGTGTCCTAAATGTGTCGTCATTCAACATTTTTTCATTTCTTATTTACACAATTCCCTGCATTACTGACTTTTTTCCTTTTTATAAAAGCTACAACCCTACCTGTTACAGGGGTAAACAATACCCTGCCACACCGCTAGAAACAAGAATAGTGGGACCCATGGCTTTGTCATCCACCAACATTTGAAACTGCTGGATTTTGTAATATCTTAAAGAAGTATTCTAGAATCTTTGAAGAGAGATTAACTTGTGGATTTCAACTTCTTCCAGTGGAACATTTGGTTCAGGTGCTAGTACCTTTAATGGCTGCTTGATAACAGGTACTGGAACCTGTATCGAAACGTCACAGTGAAAGAATAAAGATGTTGAAATTCAACTTGTCTTCAGCTTGTTTCCATACATTGTAATTAAATAATTGCTAGATTTCTATACATTGCATTACAGTAACTGTTGTTTTAAAGTATCAATTTGTATCTATAGTAATATGAAAGAATCGGGTCATCCTTAACTTTTTTTATCAGTATGTATACAAGGTCTATTTGGGTCAGGCAGGTAGTAGTGAGGACATTACCCTGGTGATAAGTTTTGATGATATCATCTTCCCGAGGCAAGAGAGTTAACTGACTGTAAAAGTCCAGTTTCCGACCTTGCCGAACTAGGCTGGAATTTCCTGGGCTCAATCGTAGCGCCACCAGTGGCTTTTACGAGTTATGTCCCTTCTATGCCTCTCCTGTGGACCAATCAGATTCCACCTCTCGTATCACTTGCATTTTGCTTCAAAGAAAATGGAAGCACCCAGTCAAGACGATCTGATCGACAATCAAGATCTATATTGTGATAAAACAGGTCTTACGTGCTTCAAATCACGTGAGTACCTTGATTAAAACATGAAAAGATTTGGAAAATATCCGTTGACAACGAGTTGGCGGTGCACATGTTTTGCAAATCCTGCAATCGACCGAACTCTGCATAACAGCTTACGAACCGGATTTCAATTTCATTGCGCGATTTTGATTGGTCTATTCATAGACTTGTTAGTCCAGCCAAAATCTAACTCCGTAATATCAGCCAAGTTCGGCTAGGGTGAAAACTGGACTTTTATAGTCAGTTAAGTCTCTTGCCTCGGGAAGATGTGATGATGTATGTTAAGGGCTCATATTGGTCCCCAGGATCTCATTATTGTAACGTCTGAGACCTGCATCACTTTGGGTCTTCCTCCTACATTAAGCTGATACGTCGTGATATACCTGGAATACTGTCTAAAGCGACATTAAACCCAACTCACTCACTTCAAGACATGAACAAAACATTTGGTAATTCTTTATTATTATGAACTTTGTTAAATGGGTTTATATGAATGAAAATTATATTTTTTTGTTTTCAACACCTGCATGTTTTTTACTTCAAACATCACAAAATGTACCTGTCACATAAAATGTGTCCAAAAGGCTGATTCTAGAGGAGTTTTGTCCGAAAGCATTATTCTGATATTTGTACATGAACAAGCTCTTTTTGTAAAAAGTAGGAAAAGTTTATAATTCATCATGATCACACAAACGGACCTCCTCTGGTTACGGACAAGAGGCTAAATGTGATATGTGAGGCATTAGAGCACGAATACCAATGTATGTTGTGATACGATTTTTATAGCACAGTATTTTCTTCAAGATGTTATCATAGGTATACATTGATACGATATGGATCATGACACATTGTTCATGATAAAATGACAATACGATCTACAGTAGGAATCTTGATTTTACCTGCACTTCTCATGATGTTATATATTGCTATAATCATGATAATATGTATAAATACATATTGATTACGATATTATACATGTGATACAATATGAATCACTTTATGTTATGAAAGATTTTATACTTTTCATACAACGCTATGTGTCACATACATTTTCATGGTATAACACTGATGCTCATAATGTAAATCACTGGATTGTCTGGTCCAGACTCGATTATTTACAGACCGCCGTCATATAGCTAGAATATTTCTGAGTGCGGCGTTAAACAACATGCAAGTATCACAGATAAATTAACAATTGCTTCTTATTAGTGACCGGGGGCACGGGTGGCCCAGTCGACTACGGCGCCGCGATTCGCTGTGCAGAGTTGTGTCCCTTGGGCACGCCAGAAACCTATGATTGTGGGTTCGAATCCCGGTTCGCCCCAATTATGTTTCTAGGTTTGTCAGCACCATACCCGTGCTCGTGGGTTTCACCGAAGTGGTAAACGTCTTAGACCTGCATCACTTCGGGCTTTCCTCCTACATTAAGCTGACACGCCGCGATATAACTGGAATACTGTTAAAAGCGGCGTTAAACCAAACTCACACACACACACACACTCTTATTAGTGACCAGTTCAAAAGTTTGATGTTGGGTAAAAATCTTATTTCTTTAGGGGTGGGGCCTTAATGCAAACCCTGCAAGTTTTCTACCCAACAAAATTAACTTACCTGATTTCTCAGTGTTTTATATAGTAACTGAACTAACCAGATCCTATTTCATTCATATGCTGTTAGGAGTTATCATTAAATACATACAGTTTTTCTACAAGGTAGGGTTTGATCATCGCCGGCAATAGTCAATCTAGTGACAGATTAAACTTCATTAAATAAACTTTCTGAAAAAACAGGGCAAAACACGAGAATGCGAGAACATTCAACATTTTCAGAATTAACTTTTCGGGGGGATTAGGGGGTATGTCTCAAAAGTTAAGGAATTAAGTTTTGTATCCGACATCATACTTTTGAACTGGTCCCATTATAGCTTACTTGAAAGTTTGTGACATTTGTATCAGGAGTGTCAGGATATGCCAGTCTCATTAAAATCAGATCTTAGTGCTCAACCACAACACAAGGATCTGAGGACATCACATTACAGGTTACAATCTGAGCATGGCTTACAAGATCGCGAAAGTGAATGAAAGTCCAAATGTGTTATTTAATCAGGCAACCGCGAAAAGGTTAATCTAAGAAGTTCCGAATGACAGTCACTGGTTGCTTCACTGTCATAAACATTTGGGGCGGTCAGGTAGCCTAGTGGTTAAAGCGTTCGCTCGTCACGCTGAAGACCCGGGTTCGATTCCCGACATGGGTACAATGTGTAAAGCCCATTTCTGGTGTCCCCCGCCGTGATATTGCTGGAATATTGCTAAAAGCGGCGTAAAACCGTATTCACTCACTCATAAACATTTGAAAGGGAAGAGATTTCCCATTGCCCAGGGGAAGTACTGCCATACAATCTTGGCTATCTATTAAACATTCCAGAATTTTCTTTCTTTAAATTTTAAAATTTTGAATTGAGAACTTTGTCGAAATATTTTTCAAAACATAGTCTGGACTTGGCGTTATGAAACTAGTGCTGTAGAGCTTGAGAAAGCTGTTTTTTGATTGGCTAATGTCGACTGGAGGTAAGTAATTTTATTGGTCGGTCACAGTCATCTGACATAATCTGTGATGGGATGTCCTCAGATCTTTGTGTAGAGGGAGCAAGCACATAGATCTGATTTTAATGAGATTGAGGATATGCCAACCTCATGATACATATCATGATAAGTATCGTGATACATAATTTACATTGTTTTTGCAAGAGCTTCTCCATATTCCATGGGGCCCGGCTAACAAGGGGATGCTGCTGTCCATCATTTTGTGTTAACGAGGACAGGTGAAGTTAGACTCATTCTTACAGTATTATGCAATTAGATTTAGCATTTTGTCATGCGATTGACGCAAAAGTAAAGCTTGCCTGAGTAGTTATCAGAATAAGGGCACTGCAAAACTTCATAAATATTACTTTTTGAAAATTAATATAGGCTTTAAACCTAAATGGATACATGTTTATCATGTATTGTATTGTCATATCTAATGTGTGATGTATTGATACATCAGTGAGTCATGACATTCCGAAGTTGTACAAGGGGGCACGGGTGGCCCAGTCGCCTAAGCCGCCGCGATTCGCTGTGCAGAGTTGCGTCCCCTGGACACGCCAGAAACCTATGATTGTGAGTTGAATCCCGGTTCACCCCGATTATGTTTCTAGGTTTGTCAGCACCATACCCGTGCTCGTGGGTTTCACAGAAGTGGTAAACGTCTAAGACCTGCATCACTTCCGGCTTTCCTCCCACATTAAGCTGACACACCGTGATATAACTGGAATAATGTTAAAAGCAACTCACTCACTCACTCACTCCTAAGTGGTACAAAGATACATGTCAAGCGAGGAAGGATGGAAGTGAGTGAGGATATCTTTCAATCTGCTACATTTCCTCATGTTTCTATGTCACAGTGTGAGTTAATAAACTGGCATTCAACATGTTCAAGTCATCATTTATGACGATACATATGTATTCGTATCTGATGTGCCAAATATTAGTTTTTGTTATACTCATGACGTGTTGTTACACAGACATATACCGTATATCGCTGTGTATAAGGCGAGTTTTTCGTACCTAATTTGGTGTCGTACCGTGTAAACACATAATGGCAACATATACTGGAGTTACACACGTGACCAATCATCGTCGAAAAAACAACGCAAGATAAACATATTTTGATTGCAGCGTATAAGGTTTGTGTGTGCACTTGTGATGTGCTTCATTCCAGGTCGCTTTATACACGGAGTATAGGATTTTGGGTCGATTTTGAAGGCGTGTACAGGGGGGTCGTCTTATACGTGGGGTCGCTTTATACACAGCGATATACGGTAGTGATATCATTAATATAGTATAGCTGTTACAGATGCCAACTGGTCACTATTGTGGTCATCGGAACCTGTTTGTTCCTATTAAAAGTATTAATAAGTACCAGATCTGTGGCAGATAGTCTCATTCAAGGTACGTTCAAGGTACATTCAAGGTACATTTCGATGTCAATGATGTTGATGGTACCTGGGCAGCCACTTGCAGTTGTTTACTTTCAACCAAAGCCCTTCGAGTACAATACAAATATCACCACGGACAGTTGCCAAAATAAATAGGATACATTTGTAATATGTCTTATTACATTGGATTTAAAAATGTGCCTTAATCGAGACTTTCTGTTACAGTTCTGAGAACTGCCATAAGATTAATTTTTTATATGTTTGTTAAAGGTGATCATCATGCCTGTAGTGATAGGCCTCCAGACGTAATATATCATGTGACATGTCGCAATGGATAGGTTTTTTTTCCCTAAAAAGACTTGTTACAGCTACTCATAAACTTGTACTAATCATTTATTACAAGTGGCCATGTCAAACCCTGTATTTTTATTTACAATTCTGTACTAGTAGTATTTTGTCAATAACATTGGTATACTCAAAGCTCAGGAATTAACACTCATCCGAACACAGCAACTGTGTACATCAGGACTATACAA